TTCACACGGCAGCTGGGAGGAACCAAGTGGGCGCCGGGAGGGGGCGGCTCCCGCGAGTCCCGCTCCAGGCGGCAGAGGGGGCGGGAAGGAGGGCAGCGGGGGCGGCGGGAGGGAGGGGACGTCGCCTCGGGCCTGCTCTCCAGCTGCCGCGTGAACCGGGAAGGTTTGCAATTTAAAAAAAAAGAAATTTTTTTATTTTAATGTGTGAGGTTCCCAATATAGTATTTCAAAGAGCACACCCCGCCAAATCCGCCATCCCCCGGAGGCTGCCTGTGAAAGAGAGAGAGCGCGCTCGGCCCACGAATCTGGGCGCCGGGCTCGCCCCCGCCCCCGCGGGCTCCAGGCTGGGGGGCCAGGTGCGGCCCCACCACCCCCCAGCGGGCCCGGGCGCCCTGCGGGAAGTGGGCTCTAGCGGCTCGGAGGTGGGGCGGCAGGTGCGCGGCGCTGGAAGAAAAACTGGCGGTTCAGAGAGAACCTTCGCCTCGCTCATCTGGCCCCCTCCCCACTGCCGCCCTGGCGTTTGGAGTGGGGGAGGAGGGCAGGAATGGGAACCCACAAACCCGAAGTGCAGCTTTGACAACTGTCTTGCTTGCCGGGTGACTTAATTCCAACCTTCTCAGCCCTCCTGAAAACCTGCCTGCTATTTCACTGCTTAATATTTTCTATTTCCATGGTGTAGAAATCCGACGGCGCCAGTACAGTCCTAGGGTGTGTTAACATAAGAGTTCTCGAGGCACGCTATAGAATGTTTGAGTTTGGCTTGCATAAACTTTTCTAACCAAAGAAGGTATTAAAATACCTCCAAAAATGTACTTAACCTATTGCCAAAAAATTGGAAATTTGTTTTAGAATCTGTTTTTCCTTTCTTTGCAAAAATGGAGAAATGAAAGAATTCCCCGAATTTTAGCGTTGTGTTCTTGAAGGGTAGAGAGCATTTAGTAAATATAAAACTACTGCAAATACAGGTAGAATCCCCTTTTAACATACGTATAAAAATCCAATTACAGGAGGCCATTCCCACATCTTGGCTGGCCTCCCAGAACGTGCCTACTTTGCTGATTGGGGATACAAGGCATTCTTTGAGATGGGAAATTCCTCATACCACATCTTTATGTAGCAGCAGTGGATGGGATGATAACATGGGAAGAACAAGACCTTATTAAAGTACTGAACCTTTTTTTTTTCTTTTTGCAAGAACATGTTATAGGAATGAGTAATGCCACAGTGGAATATATATAATTAAACCTCTTTCTCCAGTGTTAGTGAAAGATTCTGTCTGGAGTAGTTGTGTTGATATTTCAAATGAAGAAGCATGCTTACTTCCTTGAATTCTTCCTCAACTGAAGAAATCACTCCTGGAAGTTTGTCTTAGCCTGATTGTCACGGGTTTGCAGCAGTGGACTCTGTTGTGCCAGAGAAAGTTAACTCAGGTTATTATAATAAAATAAAGATAATTTCTTGGAAAGATATAGGTTAATAAATTTTCAGGCAGTGATGTCTGCAAAATTCTTCTCTTACAATTCCTGTCTGGGATCCTGAGGCTTTGCAAACATTGTTGGTTCTGAACAGCTAGAGAAAAATAACTGTCTTCCATCAAGATGCACAGTGATTCATGAGTCATGAAATGAGTAGTCTTACCTGGACTGTGGAGCCTTCCAGTGGAATTGTTTCCAGAGTTGGAAGAAACGACATTAAATCCTGTTCCCAAACTTGTATATGTCTGGCCAGCGCTGAACATGATGCTGAAAAGGAAATGTGTCAGGGCAGATACATTTTCTTCTGACTTGTAACTGGTTATTTCTACAGTTAAACGCTGAAATCTCTCCTTGTTTGTTTTCTGGGCACATTTAGATACTATATTCTTCCACATTAAGAGTGGGATTTGGGGCCCACTTTGCTTTGCTTAATTAAACACCTTCTGGTGCTGGGGGAGGTGGTGGAAGGAAGGAAAGTGAAGGAAAGATGAAATTTTAAGCTTTTAGGCATCCAATTCTGTCTGTCTGTCTGACAACACTGTAGTCAATATGGCTACTCAAAAAGAGAATTGAGACGTTCACCTGTATCTGAGACAACTCAGAAAAAGAAACACTGATTCTTCTATACCTCCTTACCACTTTTGTCCCTCATGCCATCCTAAACACTACCCCCTCAACATACACAGTCTTCTCCCACTCCCAGGCCGTCTGGTTTGAGAAGGGAAAGCATTCCATCCTGTAAGATAAGCATTATGGTGTCTAAAGGTTACATATTCCATTTCATCCTGTATGTCTTATGATTCTCTTGAATTCAGTAAATATATGTTTAACAGGATTCTTTAAAAAATGATTACAAATACTTCAATGATAAGTGCATTTGCAAAAATAAGGAATCCTTTGGACAAAAAAACCATTTCCACATTGTGGGACTAAAAGAAAGTTTTCAGTAAAAAAAAAGCATTGTAGAAAGTTGGTAGTGTTTCTGACATTTGAGTGAAAATTTCACTGAAAGAGTATTAATTTATTACTTTCCGAAAGATTTCTTACTTTAAAATGCTTCAATGATTCAAAACAAAAGAATGCATAATAGATTTAAAATGTTTTTAGAGGAGAGAAAGAATAACATTATGGTTTATGACCTACAAGATCTAAAATACAATATAATTTTATCCTTGTGATCTCCTATTATTGCCTCAGAACAATTCTATACTTAAATTTTCCACTCTATGTGGTGCTGGACCTACAATTAACTGAGTCATTGCAATAATCATATTGCCAGAAATATAATTAAAATTTCCCTTATTTTGCAATATGAAATATAAAGCTTTGGATGTGTATTGTAGATTAAATAGATTTTTAAATGTATGGAGATTTGAATATTTTAAAATAGATGGAGATTATAAACAAGTTTCTTAAAGGTAAGCTAATAGGAATATATATAATAACTGATCATTTCAAGAGCCAAGACTTTAAAAATACCTGCTGTTCTAAAAAATAAGCAGATTTTCATACATTGCATTTTATTACAAGATACCATAGAATTTTAAGATGTAAAGGATTATGAACTTCACCTAGTTCAACCTCCTTTGTATATTCAAAGTATGTTCAAATACTTAGCAGAAATTCAACATACAACTAGTTTATTTTCCAATAGTTTATTTATTTGTAAGTTGGTTATTTTGAACTTGTAATGCAATCCCTGTTGGAAAAAGAAGTGAGATAGTTAGATTCCTAGGACGGGCTACAAATGCTTATCAAATGTGTGTGAAGATACAGAATTATAGACTTTGGGGGGACTAGGTAGGATCTTAGAAGTCATCTAATCCAATTGACTTACAAATAAGGAAATTTATACTATACGTTGCTAATAGAAAGAGCAGAAACATATTCATATAATATTAGGCAGTAAATGCAGCCAAACATTTAATTGAATGAAGAATAATTTGGGTTTTATTTTTAAAGTTTGTGTTTAAGACAGAAGAGAATGTAAACAGAAACTTTTGAAAAGACTTTTTCTAAAGAGAATTTCCGGACATTTTTTAAGGATTAGATCCTTGTTTTTCTTCCTCCTCCATCCTCTCTCTCCGGCAGCAGTGGTTACAGCTCAGCTACTCCTTCTCTTCTCTTCCCCCTTTTCCCTTTTCTCGGACATCCACTGTGTAGGACTTGTGTTAACTGTTCTGTAACACTGTTTCAGGTCTCAACAACGCTGACTATTGGCCACTCATTCCTGGCTGTTATGGACTGAATGTTTGTGTGCCCCCAAAATTCATACGTTGAAATCCTAACCCTCAATGTGATGGTATTAGGATGTGGGCCTTTGGGAGCTGATTAGGTTGTGAGAGTGAAGCCCCCATGTATGGGATTAGTGTCCTTGTAAAAGAGACCCTGGAGAGCTCTCTTGCACCTCCCACCATGTGGGGCATAAGGAGAAGATGGCCATCTATGAACCAGGAAGTGGCCTCTCCCCAGACACCGAATCATCTGCTAGTGCCTTGATCTTGGACTTCCCAGCTTCCAGACTGTGAGAAATAAACGTTTGTTGTTTAAGCCACCCAGTCTGTGGTATTTTTGTTATAGCAGCCTGGGCAACTAAGACACTGGCCATTAATAATTCTCAGCTAACTACGTAAGGAAGGGTGGAGAGTAGGTAAAAAATATTCTGTTCACAGTCTCTGGAATTTATCCAAACCATCTTCCATTTGCACACTTCATTCCAGGCTTTCTTGTTCCTCACGATCCCATGTTTGGCTTTTGCTCTTCTCCGCCCAGTTTGCTGAGATTATTGGTAAGTCTGTGCTCTTTCTCCTGGCTTGTGTCTTTCTCCAGGTCTACACTCTGCAGGCAAAGGACCCACCAGCTAAAGTACCCCTTTTAAGCATTCCACATAAGAGTGGATGGAAGATTTTGTTTGTTTGCTTGACAAAGGTGTGTCAGCCAAGATGTGGGGCTTTTTCTAGCTCCTAAAAGGGCAAGGAAATAGGAAGAGAGCATGTAAAGAAGAGATTTACTTTCTTGAAGTAAATGGGCAAGAATTGAAAGAAAGTGGGGAGAGAGGAAGGGACGAAAAGAAGTGAACTCTGCACTTGTGAGAAGCTGACTCAAGTGGACACATCTATTCTGGGAGAAATGAAAAACCGAAGAAAAGCTCCCAAATACATGACTCCTCTGAAAATAAA